GTATATTATATATATATATATATATATATTATATCATTACATATTGCATCTCATTCTTTCTTTCTTTTTTATTTTTTTATTTTTGCAGGCCCAAAGCTATTACAACACTGGCCCACGGTAGACCCAGATCAGACAAACAGTGGTCCAGCTCGAACCATTACGTGCAACCCTAACCCCAGTTTCCTCCCGCGCGCGTGCTTCATCCCAACTCAGTCAACCGTCGCTTTCCACGGCAACACGCACCATTCCCGGATTTCTCGGCAACACGAAACCAATCATCAACAAACAACAACGTCAATCGAGTGTTTTACTCGGAATCAGATTCCTAAAAATAGGTTGTTATTAAGTTATAAATAAGGGGGTTTTCGAAAGCATCAGGGGGGATACAGAGATTTCAAGGGAAAATACAAGGGATTTTTTTGGGTCCGCACCACATTCATTCGAACGGGATTCAGAGAGCGTTCGGGGAGATCATTCGAAAAAGAAAAAAGAACAGAGGTAGAGAGTTTATTTTTGAGGAAAAATCGAACAAAGAGAGGTAGGAGAGAGAGAGAGAAAAAGAGAGCACAGACCAAAAACATACCAAAAAGGACAGGAATCTTACCTCTAAACCCAAAGACCCCTGATTCACCGGAGCCAAAAGAATTCAGAGCATAAGGGCGGTGATTTGGATATGCTTTTCGAGGCTGTGGAATATTGTTTCGCCTTCTGATTTGTCATCATCGACTAGGCAGAGGATCGATTTGAATTCCTTTCCAATGAGGTATCATTGATTTCCAGCGAGCCTACAACCCCTTTGCTTTTTTTTTTTTTAAAAAAAAGCATAATAATGCTTTATGGCCAAAGGCAACACCATTTGGCATTTAGTGCCTCTCTCTCTCTATTTCAAATAAGTGGCGTAACATGTGATTTGGTTCAGCTGGGGACAATTGCGTGTTTAGTCCTCTCTCTTTGTAAGCCTTATATTCAGTTGTGTTTGCAAATTTAATTCCTTTTATTTCAAGCTACTTAATATACGTTCAGTTCATTATAATCACCAGGGGCTCATGTTATTTGTTTATTCTGATATGGATTTTCTACTTCATTTTGTTTTAATTTGATTACCATGCTTGTTGTTTTGTTTATTTTGAAATCGTCCACCGATTTTTATTCTTTTTCATTCCAGTCACTGATTTCATATATAATATATTATTACTAATATTTGATTTTTATTACTATATTTGTAAATATTTTATTTTAGCCATTTCTTTATATATGGTTTAATTATTCCCCTAACCTTTTGTTCTTTTGTTTTTGCAATTTTTTTAGCATCCATTTGGTCCATAAATTTTTATTTATTTTAATCCGACCCTTTAAACATTTTTTTATTTACTTGTAATTTCAATATGTTTCTTTTCATTTTCTTTACTATTGTTATTTTTTCCTTCGATTTTTTTTTTATTTTTTTTTATTTTTTTTCTTTTCGTTCCTTTCAGTTATTTAACATTAATTAATTAATTAATTTATCTATTTTTATCTAACATTGTTTTAGGGATATTTTCAATCGATCAAAGGTAATTAATTGAAATTAAATTTTTAAATTTTTAAATTTTAATTTTAATTTTCGTTACAAAGCCAACCGGTAAATTAATTGGTACCGAAAGGGCAATTCAAGGGTGCTAAACCTTCCTTAACCGTAATCGACTCCCGAACCCGACACATTTCTAGTAAAACGCAGATCAGGTAAGATGGTGTCCGACCCACCTAAATTCGTTTTAAAATTGTCGGTGGCGACTCCCAAATCATTTTTCTTAGTCGAAACTCAATTCCGGGGCTTAACCAAAAGATGGTTCCGACATTATGTCACTTTAATGAATGATGTTTATAGGTCTTTGAGGTTTGAATGGATTAACTATGTGTTTATTTTCATGTAAACAATAACCAATTGAAGAATCCATCAAGAAAAAATGAAAATCAAAAGCCTCAGGTGGCGGAATTGTGATTCGAGACAGTATGTGAATTCAGGGTAAATCACTAAGTGTAGTTCATGTGCATGAGTGACTCGGTGTCACTCTAGTTGAATTCTGGTAATTAATTTATTATGTAAATTCACTTGTAACGTTAACTCACATAGAGTAGTGAATGGAGAAAGTAAGTAATAAGGTATGTATGGTAAGTATAAATGTTCAATTTCATGTTTTGGTGATACCATATTGTGATATGATAAGTGATTTAACCTAAATGTTAAGTATTGCATGAATCAATCTTTGTATGAAGCTAAAGTGGAGCTATAAGCTCATCCATGACTTGGTAAGCCAAGGTATGATCTAATATGTAAAAATATGATAAATATTGCCTTTGGATGATAAGTTTAGTTTGGGTAAAACTGGCATGCCATAGAGTCCATTTGAGCTCATGTTAGGGTTGTATTATGATCCATGGATCCCGATCCTAATTTGGTGACAATATGAGGGATGTTGTTGTTATTGGTCATTGGCGATAGTTTGTATGGATAAATCATTGTTTATTATTTGGTGACATTTTGGTTGGGGATTCGTGTATCTATTGCTACTTAGATTCCAAAGGGATAAATTATGGCTTTTGTTAAATTACAACTCTTTGTCATAGTTGAATATGATACGAATATTTTTAGTACTTGTCTTTGCCATTCAAATATGTTATTTCAAGCACTTAGATACGTTCAATTGATTTAAATTAAGTTTACTACCTCACAAAGCTAAATAAGCTTACACATTTTTTGGTTTAACATTTCAGGAAATCAAGCTCTATAGTTTGTGATCGTATCTAGGGGTTGCAAGTCACTCCATGCCAAACTAATGTAAATGATGTTTTAATTACTCTCCTATATGGTGGTATATGCGTTTTTATGTGTAAATGTGTTGTGAATATATTCATATACCATCATAATTTAATTATGCATGTTTGAGTATATACAAGCATGTTAAGGTTTGGAATGTTAAGTTGGAATTGCTTTGAATGGTTATGATCATGATAATATGTTTTGATGTGTTGATTTGGTTTGGATGGTCTAATATGATAGATAAGATGATTTTGATAGCGTTTGTGAAATGACCATGTTTCATGATGATTTGGTATGTAAAATGAAAGGTAGGTTGCATAATCATGTTGGTATGTAGTTGTTATTATGTTGAAGCATGCATTCAATTGTATGTTGGTTGATAAATGCATGTTGATTGGTTTTATAAGTGTTTGGATATGTTTTGGATTGACAAGTAAGGTTTCTTGTTGATTAAGCAATTAAATGAGGTTGTTTGGGGTGTAAAAATATGAAAATTTGAGTCTCCAGGCTTCTGGAAAAGTTTTTAAACTTCTGGGAATGTTTCTAAACTTTGCATTGCAGAAACTTTTGGAATTTGGAAACTTTTATGCAAGTTTCAGAAATTTAGGGGTTAGTTTGAAACTTTCACCCTAGTTTCAAAACTCCATGTTTCAAAGCTTAGAAAATTTCTCTTTTAGCCCCTAGGTTGATGATGCTTTGCTAATTGATCCCTATAAATGTATTAAGCAAATAAAATGAGCTTTAAGTCCTTACATGATAAAAATGATAGGTATAATCTACAAATTAGCCATGTAGTAAATAAATAAGAGTTTAAATAAGAATTTTAATTAAATCTTTGTCTTTTAAATAATTACCAATTTAGTCCTTGTACTTTTTTTATATTACAAGTTAATCCCTAATCAAAAGTTAGGGTTAAGAATAGTTTATAAGATGATTTGAGTTTATAAGATGATTTGAGTTAAGAAAATAATTCTTGATCTATGATGAAACGTGATTTTAGGTTACAAGTTTCGATTTTAAGATAATCTACTATTAAGTTCCTCTGGACCGCTAGTTGGTAACAACTTTCATAAAAGAGAAATTCGCATTTTATAAGTTCAATTATTTTTTATTCCACTGTTAAGTGATGTTTGATGATTTTTAAAAATATTAATTTTCCAGTATATGACTATTTACATTTCAGTCCCTAAATTTCTAAAAAAATTCAGTTTGGTTCTTAATCAATAATCACCTTTGAAAATGTAAAATAATTATGATTTTAGCATTTTTGACATTAATATTAATGTGTGAAATGTTATTTGTTTGAATGATTAAATTAGTTTCTATTTAGACTTCCTGTTATATATTTGATTTGGTCTTTGACTAAACCATGTCGAGGGTGTTACCTTCCATGGCTGTGTTGGGTGTTGTGAAGAATGTGATTTGTGTCGGAATAAGTGGTAGATCTTTTGATAAGGTTGATCCTGTGAATATGATGTTCTGTTCTAAGTGAGGGATTTCTTTGTAAGGGGTTGCTTGTTGTCTTTGTTTCCGGTTGCATTGGTTAGGGTGTTTTGACTGCATCTTGTAGCAGTTTTTATTGCTTTCTTTGGGTATTTGCAAAAAAAATTAAAATAAACTTTAAAAAATTAGATTTTTAATATATTTAATTAATAAAAAAATTATTATTCTATTAATGATTTAATTGACAGTCACATATTTTTTTTATGCAAAATGTACCTCGTTTGCACAGGTTAAATAATCATTCTAGACTATTCCAAAAATATAATTCATTCTACTTCCATTTGTTTAAATGAAATAAAACCATAAAAAAAATTTTTAAAAATATTTTTAAGTATATAATTGAACATAATTTACAGATAATATAAGATATATATTTTTAATAAAAATAATAAAAATATTGAATCAATATATGTATGTACAAGTAAATGAAATATAATGGGTTAGGATCACTAACACAATATAAAATTCTTTAGTTTTACACAGATTTATGACCGTTGAATGAGTGAAAATAGACGGGCGGAGATTGACTCATTGTTTTTTTTTTCAATGAATATATTCTCATTTTCTATTGGTAATCTCAACAATTTATTTTTATTCATCCAATGATCATAAATCTGTGTAAAACTAAATAAATTTTACATTGTATAACGAAATCTTATCCCAAATGAAATATATAATAAGCATAGAAATATATACATATATGTTTCATACATGCAATAATTGAGGAAGAACTGAGTTGACCATGTAATCCGCAAGGTAAATGTAAGCTTGTTGCGTGGGATGGACACTATCCCAAAATAAAAACTGCGAAGAATTTGAACATACTGGACTCGATGGATTACACATAAATGAAACTTCCACCAGTCCACTGCCGCAACACCCTCTCTTTGTTTCTACAAACCCTGTTTTTTCAATGAACAATTCCATTCCATTTCAATTCTTTTTGTTTTTCATCAAATATTCGTGATGAAGTTTTTCTGACGTCCTGATATGTCCAAGAACTGTTTTTATAGATCAAGTTTTGAAGTTGTTTAGTAGTTCGGATCATCAAGGAGGACGTATGAGTTTATATTAGGAGCAAATTTATAAAATTTTAGAGTATGATAAATATTGATGGATTTATAAATATTTTTTAAAGTGAAGTGCATATATATTAATAATATAAAATTTTCATATGAGATGGACATAAATAAAATTTCAGGATGGACAAGTGCCTACCGTGGACAAATCCTACATCTGCCACTAATGGTAAACTTATAAATTGTTAGAAGTGATAACAACCTATTAATAGAAAATAAAATAAAAACTAAAATATAAAGGAATTTGAAAATTTTAGGGAGACGAAGGGGACTGTCCCAGCTGACAGCTACCCCCATCGAGTTATTCTTGTGGGCCATTTCACTAGGATTGTTTAAACGATCGGTCGACCAACTATAAAATTAAATTACTCGAAAACCAAATTAGCCAGATTTTTTTCTTTAACCTTAACCGAATTGATTTTTTAAAAATAATTTTAAGTAAATAATATTTTTTTATATAATATTTTAAAATTATATCTATTTTCATTTCAATACAAGGGTAAATTGCACATTTAGTACCTAAACTATCACATTTGTTCTATTTTAGTACTTAAACTTTATTTTTTTTAAATCATACTTAGCTTTAATTTAGGTTTTAATTTGATACACTGCCATTAAAAATCATACGGAGCGATACTAAATCAAAAACTAAACTAAATGTTAAGTGTAATTAAGAAAAAAGTTTTAAGTAGTAAAACGAAACAAAAGAGAGAGTTTAAATTACTAAACATATAGTTTGCCCTAGATCTAATCATCTAACTATATGAATTTAAAAGTATATTCACAATCACTCCGTACTATTTAAAAAAAAACATATTCATAACAATTAACTGGAAATTGGTTAAAAATATTACCATATTGTTGAGGATGATTAATCATGTCGAGCAGTGGCTCATAAATGTCTGCATATACAATTTTGCTCATCGGAAGCTTTGCCTGTAATTGAGGTAAGAGTTGGGCAAGGTTGTTGTTATAAGATTGAGCGTCGTCGTTTTGGTCTTCCAAGCATTCTCTATTTGTTTGAAGCTCAAATTTGATCGTCATTTGAACTGGTAAGCAACCTATCGGAGGTAGCCCGGCTATCACCATTTTCCGGCATCCAAGTTCATATAGCTTCTATAAATTCAATCACCATATATTATTCATTATAATTGATTTTCTAAAAATATAATTTATATAAATGAATTATATTTTATGAAAAATAACTTCTCAAAATTATTTTACGGTGTTTGAATGATCTTGTATAAATCAGTTTTTCACTTGTTGGTATATTGAGATGAGACACTAGATTCTTAAGCAAGGTTAGAGATTTGAACCCTGACATTTGCGAATGGAGAAAACTGGGTTGGCAGGGTCGCTCTCGCCTCTGCAGTACCCAATCTGGATTAGCCGGTCAATAGATCGGATACTATAGTGATTAATAAAAAAAATATTAAAATAAGAATATTATATTTTGAAAATTATTAATAATATATTTTAAATATTTTAATTAAAATAATAATAAAATATTATATTAAAAATTAAATATAGGGATATAATCCTATTACACAATGTAAATCTCTTTTAGTTTTACACAAATTTAGAATCATTGAAAAAGTGAAAATAGACAGTTGAGATTAATAGTAGGAAATGAGATGATATTTATTAAAAAAATAAGGAATTAATCTCAACCATATATTTTCACTCAAAAAATGATCCTAAATCTGTATAAAGCTAAAAGAGTTTTACATTATGTAAGTGGATCCTAACACTTAAATATATAAAATAATATTATCTATATTAATAAATATATTATATTATATTATTAAAATTATTAAAAAATTAATTTTAAATATTATAATAATTACTATTTTTAAAAAAATATTAGACTATTATATTAATATTAAATTTATAAAATAATATTACTCAATATTAATAATTCAATAACATTATTTTTAGGAAAAATAAGAAATAGTATTGATTATATTAATAATTTATTATATTAAAATGAAAATATAATATCATATGTTATTTTACTAAAACTGATTATATTATTATAATATTAAAAATATAATATTATTAAAATTATTAAAAAATATATTTTGCATGTTTTAAGAATTAAGAATTAATATTTATATTAAAATATTATATTAATATTAAATATATAAAATAATATTATTTTATGTACTTATATTTTGAAGTGAAAATTTTAAAAAATATTTTACGAAAATTAGACCATAAACACTTTACATAAAATGTAAATGAACCAAAACATTATTAAAAATATTTTACACCAACCAAACATTAAAAATTATTCCTCGTAAAATGAATTATGACTATCAAACATACCCTTAGTTTAATAATTTTATCCTTTATTATGGAATTATACGCAAATAACCTAAATTACAAATAAAAATTTTAAATTCAATTTTGTATTTTTGTTCAATTCGATTTTTACTCAAAATCATGAATTGAGCGAATGAGCAGATGGTCTCCTTTAAAAATTTTAAATTCATATATATTTTAGATGTTTTTTTTATTTTTTATTGGAAATATGTTTCGTTATAAAATGTATGATTGTGTAATTACCTGGAGAAAATCTTCAAGTTTTTGAAGCAGAAAACGTTGGTATCCAACGCTGTCGAACTCCAGTCGTCTAATCGGAATATTTAAGAAATTGAAGAGAAAATCATTACTTCCTGTACTGATTATTACCAGAGCTTCACCGATGATGTTCTTCGCCTTATCTTCACCTACAATTCCCTTCAGCTTGTCTATATAACTCTTGAACATCTCAACTTGCTCCGACAATGGAATCACATTGAATAACTTTGTAACTAAATCATCATATCCTGTTGCAGCTGAGGCAAAGCACACGCCTGTTTGCAGCTCGTTTTCCGACAGATTTGGCTTTAGAAACGGCGGCACTTCGTCTTTGATCCTTAGCATCGATGCGATGATATCGGTAACAAGTTTCCCATCGGAAAACCTCCCCGTTGGAACATGGCCGGGAAAGTTTTCGCCGTAGGGAGGCATGTCAGCTTTAGCCAATGTTTTTATATAGTTGTTGTTGCCTGCATCTACAGTTGAATCACCAAAGACGATAATGGCTGGAAACTTTGGTAGTGGTGGTGGTGTTGCCGAGGTGGCGGCGGCGGCGGCGCTTCTGTAAGTGTTGAGAGAGACCATATAAATCAGTACTACGACAACAATGAAGAGGTTGGAGGCTGCCATCTCAACTTCTTCGGGCAAGAAATGGGTTTTGAAATTGAAAAGTATCGAGAATTTATTTACTTTAGAAATGGATGGGGCATTAGGAAGAGATTAAATATAGTTTAGCAATAAATATAAGGATAAAGTACAAAAATAGTCCCCTGACTTAGGATATTATTTTATTCAATCTTTCAACTATTAAAAGTTTTAAAATGACCCCTCAACTATAAAGAGTTACTTTGTTGAGTTCTTCGACTATTAGAAGATACAAAATGGTCACCGAATATTAATTGTGTTCCAAACTCGTCCTTTTCTGTTAAAAAATTAATGATTGTCTGAGCTGGACGTTAACATGTTGATTGATATATGATAGTCGGTTGAGATTATGAGATCAAATTTTATCATATGCCAATCAATAGATTACGTCCAGTTCAAACTGTCGTTAATTTTAACGGAAAATGACGAGTTTGGAACATAATGAATAGTTCGGTGAGCATTTTGTAACTTTTAATAATCGATGGACTAAACAAAGCAACTCCTTATAGTTGAGAGACTATTTGTATGTTTTAATAGTAGGAAGACTCAATAAAATAGTATCTTATAGTCGGGGGACTATTTTTGTATTTTACCCTAGATATAATATAGAAGTTATCAATGGATCATCAAATAAGTTTAATATTTCGTTTATTTATAATTTAATTGTTTTTCTCATTTTTTATGTGATATGTGAGGTATTATGAAATTATACAATTTTGAAACGCATGCGACTTAATTTTTTTTATATATTTTTCATATATTTGTTTAGTATGCGTGTTTTATTTATTTTTATATCGCATACAGAATTATTAATATGTTATTTTCTATAATTTTATTTTATATGATCTTAAAATAAGGTTTTAATTCGATGGAAAAAATTAGGGTGTTAATTCAATTTTGCTCGAAAAATCTTAACAATATAATTATGAAATCAAGGTTTCTGATTGGAGGACAACTAAGAAAATGTGTTGGAATTTCAATGAAAAGAATAACTTAATGGATGAAGAAAACTGAACACTATAATTTTATTTAGTAACATTCGGAATTTAAACAAAATAAAATTAACTACCCACTAACATCATGCTCTTAAATTTAAGCATTAACCCATTAACAATTCGCTCCTAAACTTAAGCAACACAAAAACAAATAAACTAAAAATAGCAGCAGTTCTATCCACATCAATTGACACTCCTCGCTTTAGGAACTGCAAACACCAAGTGTTGTTTTTAAAACTTCAAATTTACTAAGTGGAAGCGGTTTGGTGAAGATATCTGCAAGCTGCTCCTCTGTTTTGCAATGAACTAGTATAACATCATCTTCTTTCTATACTTCTCTCAAAAAGAAAAGTTATTGTTAAAATGCTTAGACTTCCCATGAAACACTGGATTGTGGGGAATTGCTATGGTAGTTTGGTTATCAACGAAGATCTTTGTGCTTTCGTTATGTTCAAGATTAAGATCACATAATATTTTTCTCAACCACAAAGCTTGATTAACAGTAGACGTGTTAGCTTTATCGATCAACCGAAATATGTCAAGAGAGAGGTGAATTGGCCTTTTAAAAAGTTTGGTGGAAGCAATCGAAAAATAAAAATTTTGCACAATGATTTAAAGTGGTTCAACTTCTCAACCAAGTCTATATCCATTACTTAGCATCCACACTAAGGATTTCACAAATCCATTGGATTTGCTTACCTTTAAGGACAAGGTTTAACTTTACAAACACTTCAAGGTTTATATCCCAAAGCTCCAAAAGATTGATTACAAATTTAGCAAACAAAAGAAAACATCACAAAGACAAATGTGTTTGCAAACAATAAGCTCTCATCCAAATCAAAAAAATAAAGCTCAGAAGTGTGTTACAATGAAAAGATTGAAAAATTAAGCACAAATGACTTCTTTGATGTTGATATATTTGTTCAATATGGTTATTGTTGACCTTCAATTTATACATTCTCTATCAATTCTAGCCATTTGGACCCGTTAGGGTTCATTATAGTCGTTACCTACAACTAAAAACAACTTTTAATGCATAAGGGAGAGATCATTTTATGAAAGTGATTGATCATTTTTCAAACAATTCGGTTGTTTCAAGAAAGCGATTGATCCTTTAGGGGAAGTGATCGACCCTTTTGGTGAAGGGATCGATCCAAAACTTTATGGAATCCAAGGGATCGATCCTTTGGTCAAAGGGATCATTCCTTTTACTAAGGTAAAAACAACGTTTTTGGAAGTCCAAGGGATCGATCCTTTTTATTTAGGGATTGATCCTTTTACTAAGGGATCGATCCTTTGAGCAAAAAATGCTTGGAAACTCAACTTTAAAGCGTGAAAATGACCGAGTAAGTTTTTGAAAAGGTTCGACTAATTTGGAAAACATTTAGAACATATTTTTCAAGTTAATTTGGACTTTGAATTATTTTTGACAAATTCTATTAAGTCCAAAATCAATTTTATAAGTTAATATTAAATCAAAATATTTATTCAACAATCTCCACATTTTCGATATAACAAAAATCTTTGAAAAATCTTTTTTGAAAAATGCTTCCCCTTTGAAAAATAATAAAAGCGTTTATGAAATTGTTAAAAATTTAAGCTCTAATTTTAACTTTGAAAAATCATTTATTAATATGACTTACTTCTCCCCCATTTTTTATATAAAAAATAATTCAACAATGTTAGTATCATATAACAAATGAGATAAAGTAATGAAAATAAAGGTGTAATCAAATAATAAGCATATTAAGGTAAATGTAAAGCATCATAGTACTTAAAGTAAATAACATTCATATAAGCTAAAGTACCAAAGTCATAAATATCAAAATAACCAAATAAAACATCAAAGGTCCAAACGCCATAAATGTACCTAAGTTTAATGTACGAAAATAATATGATATGGTATGCATGCACTATTTATGATGATGAATGAGGGAAAGAAAATCCGTCAAGCTGACACTGAATAGCTTGAATCTCCTCTATCATATGAATTTATATAGCATCCTGATGAGTTACAATCTCATTAAATTATGCATCAACATGGGCTCGAAGAGATCCGATAGACTGAAGAATCTTCTCCTCAAAATATCTAAAGAAAGTCGTTGGAGGTGTTGGGTCTACATGAATTGCTCTCCCAGGCTCCTCTTAATCATCATCATCATGCACATCATCTACATGCTTATCTCCATCATGATCATCATCATCCTCGTGTTCTCCGTGGAGACTACGAACCCAACGAATGGATCCCTAGGGCTTCTCTATGTAACTGATCTTTGACATAGTTCCATGACCAATGATCCTCTTATCGGAAGGGAATGTTTCGGGGTCATAAGATGTGTTGATACCAAGAACCTCAAACATATGATAAAGGTGTATCCCGTGCACAAGGTTCGGTCGAGCATTCGACTTGATCACGCTCACAATGCCATTGAATATCATGCTAGCAAGGTGGATCTTGTGATCTTGTTGAATGCAGTAGGTGGCTCATTATTTCTAAGAAGCATATCGGGAGGAAAAATGCCTTTTTTTTATTGTCAACACGAGTAAGAGGAAGGTCAAAAGATTGGGCGATAATATCAAGGGTGATGGTGATGGTATTACCCATAAGGTGAGAAGCTATTGTCCAATAAATGGTGCCATCATGAGAAGCGGATGAAACATAAGAATTTGAGTGAAAAACTCAACCTAAAGAAGGATAGTCATGACCTTGGAATTTTAGAAAATAAAAAAAGTTTCATATTCTTCAACTTTTGCTTGTAAGGAAAACCCAATTTGTCTAAAAATTTAAAATTGATTTTTTAGGTTTCTTTAATTGGATGATATGAAAAAATGAATCATATTGCTCACGGGCTTTGGTATTTTTAAAACAATGATCAATCCAAGAAGTAACTTGAGGGTTGCTTGATGATTGCCCCTTTGAAACCATGGTTTTTCTTTTTGGCATTATGAAAGATTTTTGAAGAAACTATGAATTTAGGCTAAAACATATCTTTGAAGGATGTTAAGAATTATTTTAGAAAGAATTAAAACCAAATTTTAGGCTAAAAAATGGTGTATAACCAAATGGTATAGATGGTGGTTTTTGGTTGAGGAGTTTTATCAAACACCTTGTGGGTGTAAGATAAAAGTTTGGGTTTGTAAACAAATTGATTATGGGTAATGCTCCTTGTAATAAAAAAAGTATTTGCAATAAGAAATTGTTCTGTAACCACCTAATTCAACCCAATTTGTTCGAATTTAAAAAAATTGAAAAAGTTATGGTTTTAAAAAATTCTTACCCAAATGTGATGATTCTTCAAAAAATGAAGAATGATGCATTAGGGAAGAAAATCACATGAAAGCCCTTTGGAATCGATTAGATTGAAGTATTTTGATGAAAAATTGATTTGAGAGTGTTTACGTTCAAAATATGGGAGAAAAAGGTTGATATGCACGCAAATAGACTTAAAATAGCCTTCCCATACGAATTTGGCCTAAAGGGATCAATCATTTTTCTGGAGAAAGCAAGGGATCGATCATTTTTCTAGAAATTTGCATTTTTATTCGAAGGACAAAATTAGATGGCACTTGAATCGAATAAGATGCAAATTAAGTCATATTATTGATTGTAAATTAATTTTAATGACTTAGAGGATACTAAATGTGCATGAAAGTCAACTTGAAACATCAAATATGCAAATTTTTATTATTGATCAATTTAGACCATAATTTGCATAAATAAAGTCCAAAACTGGAAGCTCTCGATTTTCTCTCTTGGTGCACGTTACCTGGACTGTTGGATGTGTTTAATTTTTTATTGTGTTCGTTCTGCAGGATTCCTTATTGATTGGGTTTTCTTTTTCTGATTTCTTTGTTTTGTGTATCTACTCTTTGCTCTCCATTTTTGTGGATTTTCAGGAATTGGAGATCGTTGTTTGGGGTGAAATAACTGTAATTTCTTTGCTATTTCTAGCTAATGGCGTAGCAACGATTGAGCCTCCAATAGAGGTT